ACTAAAGCAGATCATCTGTCTATATAAATAAAAATGTAATGTTTGTTTGTTCCTACCGATTCCTTTGAAATTTTGACACAACACTGCATTCGAATACACCCGTGCTTTTATATAATATATGTCGAAATTTCCCCTACTGGGGGGAGAGGGACAGAATTAAGGCTTACCGTAAAGAACTCTGCTTCTATTTATGCTATTTTAGATGCGGTTTTTTGCATTTTAATAGGGTACGTCAACAGAATATACACTAAAAAGGGATTTTTCAATATTCCCCCCGTGGGGGAGAGGGACAGGATTAAGGCTTACCATGAAGAACTTGGCTTGTATTATACTATTTTAGATGCAGTTTTTGCGTTTTTGATTGCGTTTTAATAGGTTACTATTAAAACGCAATCTTACTAGCAGACCCCACCACGTGGTGGTGTCTGCTAGTAAGATAATAAAAATAGATCCTTACCCTCTGCCCCTCATCCAGGAGTCATTGAGCTTACTTGGAAAGGTGAGATATTTTTCAACAATGGACATTTTAAGTGAATATTGGCAGTTACCCCTGAACCCTGACTCAAAGCAAAAGACTGAATTCACTACCCTGTCGGGACATTCCCAATTTAATTGTATGGCTATGCGACTTTGCAATGCAGCTGCAACCCTCTAATGCCTTGCAGATTTGATATTAACTAGCCTAAAACATAAAATTTGTCTAGTTTATATGGACAATATCATGGTGTTCAGTTCAGACATTAATTCGCAATTGGAGCACTTAGAACTCATTTTTTAATGCCTAGCAAGTGCCAGAATAAAACTTAAGCCCAAAAAATGCAGTTTTTTGAAGTAACAGATAATATTTTTGGGGCACGAAGTCTTGGAAGAAGGGATTCAACCTAACCCTTCAAAGATCAAATGCGTGAAGAACTTCCTCAACCATGCAATGAACGTGATGTGAGGACCATTTTAGGATTAATGGGATACTGTAGAAGGCACATTTTTCAGTATGCAAAAATATCTAAGTTTTTCTGACCTACTGAAGGTAGATAACAAATTTTGCTGGACTGAAGAACACAGAGATGTTTGAGATGCTAAAGGAAATTTTGGTGTCCACTCCCCTTTAGACTGTCAAAATCACCAGATTTTGCCAAACATGTCGCCAAAATGAAGGGACTGTCAAAATCACCAGATTTTGACAGTCCCTCCATTTTGGCGACTGATGCATCAAACACTGCCATTGGAGTCATAGTATCGCAGGAAGATGAGCAGGGTGAACTCCCTGTGGCCTATACTATTCAATTACTCAAGGAAGCCTAAAGAAATTATAGTATGACAGAAAAGGAGTGTTTGGCAGTAATTTGGGGAATAAAATATTTTAGACCTTATGTATATGGTAGAAAATTTAAGATCATAACTGACCACAGACCACTTAGATGGCTCATCAAAGACGAAAGTTCAAGACTAAGTTGTTGGAATTTGGCATTGCAAGAATACCAGTTCGAGAACATACAGTCTGGGAAAGGCACACGCTAATCCAGATGCATTAAGTTGAGTATCTATAGCTTCAATAAATGAGATGTGCCCAATATATAGTAAAGCTCAGATTCAGGAACAACAATTAAAGGACCCTTTTTGCAAAGAGATTAGATGATGCCTAGCAGAAAACCCATACCACAGGAACAGAATTTGAACACAGATAGTAGAGAATTTTATCTAGATGCAGATCAAACATTATATAATAAGAAGACAAACCCGGAAAGAAATGAAACTTGGGACAGAGTAGTCATCCCCAAAATTATGGTCAAATACGTCTTGGAAGTTGTAGCTGTTTCACAATATTCCAAGTTCAGGACATTTAGGTGTGAAAAATCTGAAAAAGAAATTAGACGCAGTTTTATTGGCCTGGTATGAATAAAGACATCATACACTATTGTCAGATGTGTCAGGAATGTAGTTTGTGAAGATGTCCTCTACACGGACATCAAGCTCCCTTACAAACATTTCCTAAAATCACCAAAAAATTTGAGAGAACAATCTTAGACATTCAAGGTCCTTTTTCTACCACTAACAATGGCAATAAGTATCTCAGTTTTTGTAGATCACTTTTCTAGATGGGCAGAAGCAGTGTCATTATTAGACGTCACTGCTAAAATCGTTGCCATAGTGTTTGTTACACAGGTGATCTTACGACATTCAGTACCCAAACAATTGACTGATAGAGGTGTGAATTTTACTTCAAAAATGATCCGAGAAGTTTGTGATCTCCTACACATAGAAAGACTTCTTGCCACTGCATATCACCCACAATGCAACGACATGGTGGAACATTTAAATAAAACCTTAATAGATATCCTGATGCATTATGTACATAAAGACCAGCGCAGTTAGGAAGAAATGGTTCTTTACTCCCTTTTGTGTATAATGCCATAGTTCATTCCAGTACAAACGAAACTCCATATTATTTGTTGTACGAAAGAGACCCAGTTTATCCATTTGATGTCATAACTGAACCCAATCAACCAAGTTAAGAAAATTATGCAAGTGAAGTGAGTGTAAGACTAGCCTTAGCACGCAAGCTAGCTCGAGAATGCAGAAAAGGCCACAATTGATAGAAAAGGGTACCAACAGCAAAGGAATAGGCCTTATAAATTTTTTATAGGAGAGTTTTCATAATGGAAGTAACTATCTCATCAGGATTAAAGCAAAAACTAGCCCCAAGATGGCAAGGACCCTACAGGATAGTATCAGAGACAAGTCCAGTAACTTTATTGTCCACCATGTGTATAACAGGAAGAGGATGCACACTCATACTAACTGGATAAGCTGTGCTCGCACAAATGGAATTCATATCTTTTGTAGTGGATGAACGTAAGTCTGAAGCAGAAGCTTTCAAGACACTTGTCTTGGAACAACCAGCACCTATATCAAGAGATCCTTGGGATGAATTTATTTTAGTCAATTCAGCAGAGCCAAGTAGACTCAACAGAAACAATAGTTAACCAAGAAACATCCACTGCACAACCATCACATAGATATGCCCTTAGAAGTCTGGGACCTGTAAATAAATACCCTTGGGTTCTCCCAACCAACCTCTTTGAAAATCACATTACCAATTGATGTGATGGGTTTAGACACAGAAGTGAGACTTTGCCACAAGGTCAGGGTCATGAGCACTTGCTGTCACCTATGCCAATTGGACTATTTAAAGATTGTAAGTGGTAGTCTCTTTTATCCAGCAAAAGAGACTATCATAAAGGAAAGAGGAGAAGTCATTAGCAAAGTTGAAAGTAAGCCAACACTTTGTTTTTTTAAAAAAAAGGAGAGAGAGAGAAAAAGAGGGGCATTTTATTCTCTTATGTAATGTATTGGAAAGCATAAATAATGTTTCTTTTCTTTATAGATCATGAAGTGAGAACCAATGTCATTATATCTTTTTGCTACAATGCTGTATGTCATGCATGAATCCACAATAGTTGTGGATTCATGCATTCCACCATTGACCAAGGGAATTATTTTCCTACCTCAGCAATTTTCTAATGACAACACGCCAGTGGACAATAGCTATAGAGATAATGTTTGAAGAATATGACAGCTACCTTAATGATCTACATCATCACTCTTTGACCCCCCGTCGTAAAGGAAGTAGTTCATAGGAAAAATTATCCTATGAAGCCTTTGTGGATCCTAGCTGCTGCTGAATTGAATAATATAAATCAAGAATTGGATGAATATGAAAGGGAGTACAATGAATTGAAGTCCACCATAACTATCAGTGATGATCCAAGAAAAAAATGCAGATTAATCAACATAGGAGGAAAAATAGTAAAATTCTTGTTCGGAACGGCTATGTCCGACAAAGTAGAAATGACCAACAACAAGATAGATAGTATAAAAGTAAGTCAGAAGAAAATGGTTTACATTTTGGAAGCCAAGACTACAGTGTTGAACCAGACCCTAGAAGCAGTCAAAAATAACAGAATGTATATTGACATGTTAGTAAGATACCTTGAATACTTAGAGAAGGAATTACAAACCTTCAGTTATACCTTTGTTGTGGGTACTGCTTTTCAATATGCAGAGAATGCAGTAGCTGAATTCTGAACAAGCATCACAAATATAAGGCAAGCCATCAAATTGCTGGAATGTGACAGACTAAACTGTCACATTCCAGCAATTTGATGGATTCCAGCAATTCCCTTTGCCAAAGTCCCAGTTACTAGAAATGTTAGTGGAAGGTGAACACGCAATTACCCAACAGGATCTCCCTCATAGAACCTTTAAATGGTGATAACATTTTTAAGTACTATCAATGGATAATCACTACTACCTTTGCACTACCACGCAAGTTACGAATATTTACCAGACTTCCATTAATCACACCATAAGGGTACACCAAATGTACAGTACATGATATACAGTAAGGCAAAAATGCAAGTTATTTTCATTCTAGCAATTTTCTATGGATTATATGCCATTACAGTTTTTATACACACAAAAATAATATATTAAAAATTGATAATATCTTTAAAATTGAAAATATTTAATTTATGCTTGAAATTATGACTTTAAATATGAACAATATAATGAGAGGCTACTGTAGCATTACATATTTGTCTCAGAGTTATCTATGAAATGTCTAACATATGGCTAAATAAATTGAAAAGTATCCAAAATATTTAAATTTATTTTCATTTTTTTTTTATAACTAAAATAAAAATTGCATCTTAAATAGAATTTGATTCTAACTACAATTGTGTTTATTTGTATATTAAAAATTTTTAATAAGTGATTAATTTTTCTATGTTACTTTAAGAGATTTATTATCTACATGGTATTTTCTCTAAATCTGTTTATGTATTGTTTTTATACATAGGAAATATTTATTCTTCACATGATTATTTTTGTTAAGAATTTTTTAACATGAATTATATTGTTGCATTTAAATTTTTTAAACAAAGTTTTAATTTTATACGTAATAAGGAAAATTCATTGATGTACCATTTATTTTATTTTAGTTTATTTATTGATTCCGAAAAATGCACGTCGGATGTACATAGACATTTACAAAGCACATCGGGAAATCGTGTAAAAATTACCATGCAACCGTATAATGCTATTAGAGATACCTTATCAACCTTATTGAGTCAACAGACTGGAAAAGTTTGGGTAAATAGCATATTTTATATTTAATAATAATTTATATGTATTATATAAATGTTTTATTTTTGATTTTTAGTTTTTTAAAATTTTCTGACCTTAATATTTTTTAATACCTTCCAAGCTAAAGTTCTTGCATATGAAACAGAATAGTTCTTTTGTCAGATTACAGATTCAAATCCTCCTTCATGTATAAATGTTTGTGGTTGTTAAATTACAATGTTAATTGTTACGTGAGGAGGAATATTGTAGCCATGACAATATGTGGTATAGCTCTTGATTATGAATTTGTGAATGTGGTTAAATTTTACCTACGTGCTCCATCATGGTGGCGGTCATGACTGTTTATGCTCCCGACTGGCTTTTCCTGGAGTGGAGCTGTCAGCAGGCCACTGTGTGTATAACATCACTGGTTATTGATATGTGTGTTCAAAAACTACCATGAATCAATAACTAGTGACGTTATAAACTCGGCAGCCTGCTAGCAGCTCCCCTCCGGGAGGACTATATTCAGTCAGGAGCACGAACAATCATGACTATGGCCATGACGGTGCATGTAGATAAAATTTGAGCGATTATGTTTACAGTCCTTTCCAAAAAGTTGCTTGATTTTTTGTAGATGCTCTAAATATCAACTAACAACAATGCCAGAATACAGGATTGAATAATGTAGTGATATGAAATAGAATCATTGTTTTTATTCATGTAGGAGTAAGGAATAGAGAGAGTTAGAGAGGTTCTTTCATTACAATTGAATTGATGCAATTAATTAATGATAAACAATTGACATTTGACAATTTCTAAATTTATGTTTCAGAGCTACAACTATGAAACATATGAATTTTAATTATTTTTTTACATAACAATATCTAAGGTATTTAAATAATTTCTTAAGAATTAGATATAAATGATGATGATAAAATTTGTTAATTTAATTAAAAATTGAAGTATCAGCAAAATCATAATGCTAAAATCATTATCTTTATTAAATATAATTGTAAAGAACAAAATAACTCTAAAATAAGTTTGTTAAAATAATATAATAAAGTAATAGTGAAGAAAAGTAAATAAAAGTTTATTAAATGAAATATTTTTATTGAAATTTGTAGAATGTGAACAGATTTGTAGCTTAGCTATACTATCTGCATTTAATCTATTAAAATTTTTTAAAAAGTCTGATCAAAGAATTTAAAATCTTTAAATTCTCTGTTTCTATTTGAAGCTAGAATATAAATGAAAGGTTGATAACATCTTATTTTAAAAAATGTTGATTGGTTGGTTTCTGTTTTTTGGCATGAGCCATACAGGTTATACTGTGCCATGTCACATGGAAAATCTATATAAATATATAAAATTATATACAATATTAATAAGAAAAACAATAACATAGAGCTGTACAAATAAATTAAACATTGACAACAAGGTTTAAATAACAAGTTTTTTAAAAGTAACATATAAAATAATTAATCATGTTAATAATGAAGTGATACCAGTAAAATCCAGCAAATAATATACTTTACTAAATAATAGGCAAAAACATTTGCTTTTTGTTATTTTTAAATAAAAAAAAATATAATGGAGGCACAAACATTTTCAGTCACTTTAATGCTGGCTTTCCATTTAGTGCAATTGCATCACCGTCACACAATGATTAATAGAGCAATGCAATTGCTATCCTATGTGCCTATACACTTTATGTGAAATGGAAGGTGATTCCCAATGAAGTATGGAAATTTTTAAATGGCGGCAAAACTTTCAACTTAAAATAAAGTTTTATATTTTTCAATTTAATTTTTTAAAATCTAATATTTGCTATCTTTGCACTTTTTCAAAATTTCCACACCATGCTGTATCTAGTGCTAAAGATGATGGGTAAAAATATGATGGCACTTATGCTTGGAATTATTGATGCTGCATGTTGATTGGCTGCAACAGAATCGCCAGGCAAAAAATATACGTTGTCCCAGAACTCTTTCTCCAAAGAACTTGAAATCGGTCCTAACTGGAAGGCAATTTTCCTGTATATGAGCAATGACAAAGGCATTTGAATCACCTTGAAATCACTCTAAGTGGAGAGCTAGTATAAAGGGCCTTCATCAGGGAGAGAGCCATTTTTTACATTCAACAAGTATTTAAAAAGGAAGCATTTCCATTTGTGCTTCCATTAAATTTTGTGCACTTGAGTAAGTATGAGCAGTATGCAGTGTTTTTAATCAACTGCTTCAGCTTTTTGAGTGTGTTCAGATTTTTAAATTGTCATCATCATGTTAAAAGTTACTGGTATTATTTTGTTATTTATACTTAATTAAATCCAGTTTTTAAGTATTGCGTAGTTATCAATAATCATATCTGTTTAAATATATTAACCACTCAGCAGTGACCGATGGATATACCCGTCAAGGGCGATCGTGTGGCACTGGTGAACAACAGCTATCCGAAAAATTATTTTGCAGATATTGCCAAAATCTATTGCGAAAAAAAAAATTCACATAAAAAAGGAATTATGTAACAATAAAAAAAGACTTTTCTTTACTAGACATAACTGTTTACAAAATCTTTTTCCGAAACAGTAATGAGAAAAAAATGTTTGGGTAAATATTTTAAAAATTTTCCATGTTTATTCTCCACTACATAGGGATAGCACTATACCTGACTAACCCACTGCTGGAAGGTTAATGACTTTTAGAAAGCCCAATAGCATGTCAAGATTTGACCTCTGGCCTAAAATTCCCAACAAACTTGTATTTTTGAAATGACATCTACAAATCATCTCAAATTTGGGGCATTCATACAGTATGTGTTTCACACTTAAGGTACAGTTGGATCCACTTATACAAAATGCTACCAACTCTCAAATGTACAAAAAAATGGTTGAAGTCGTATCCAAATTTAGTATTTTTACAGAAACAACCAAACCACATAGCTAATCTATTCAAGTATTTAATATTAAAGTTACTTGAGGCAGGAGGTCTACTGAAAAAGTCATAAATATTTTTAATGGTCCAACATAATTGTGGCTAAATGATAAGCCTACAGCTAAGGCAAAACTTGACGATTTACAAGAAATGACACATCTTATTCCAGCAGACTGCTTGACATTTTATAAGAGCTTAAAAGGCAACAGTAGGATTACTGAAGATGTAGATGGCTTTAACGTGAGGAATCTTGATTTTTATATTAATAAAAATGGTGATTAATGTATGTGGTGTTATTATTTATTCTATGTCTTTTCTGAAACAAAACCAAAAAAAAAAAAAAACAAATTGTTTAAGTATACTAGTAGTGTCAGTTCAAATGCTTTTTGATTTTCTCCAAAATGCAGGATCCTACCAATCCCCAAAATTTATACAATTTCTTTAAAAAAAATTTAGTACAGTAGAGCCTCGAAAACTTGGCCTAATGTGGACCGAAGGGTGGCCGAGTTTGTGAAAATGCCGGGTTATCAGGAATGGCGTTAAAAAAATAAGTACGAGTGTGGAGTCCTCAGAAAATACTGTACTATACTTGTATGTATTGTTTGCTTGAGAATACAACAAAGAATAAACTGCCCAAATATCCTTAAACAAAGGAAAAGTACATACTTTATGAAGGCAGAGCCATTACTACATGAAAATGAAAATTAATGAATACACAGTGTACAGTAATTTACCTGATAAGACAGACCCCAGAAAAATACTTTGAGGCATAAAGCTGTCTATAGTGAAAATTAATTAACTAAGGATTTTTATGCCCTGCTAGGGTGTGGCCGAGTTATCCGGACTGCCGGGTTATCGAGTGCAGAGTTTTCGAGACTCTACTGTACTGTCTTTCTCAAATTTTTCTGATTTTATATTTGTATTTGTTATTTATAAAATTAATATTAACAATAAATATTGATACATTATTAATGCATACTTTATTTTAGATTAGCAACACATCTAGTTATTCTCTAGTCAGTTTAGTACCAGAGGTAAGTCTTTATAAAAAATAAATTAAAGGAATTAAATTATTTCTTCTATTAAAAATGAATTTTATAAAATAAATTATAGTAATTTTAATTTTTATTACAGAATCAGAGAATTGATTCACCCAATCCAATTTTATTGAAAAAGGCCATAAAAAATGATACTGAAATTAAATGCATGAATAAAGCTCAGGTAAATAATAATTTTTAAGAATAATAAGGTAGAAACAATGCATAAGAAATTGGAAATAAGATTTAATTCAAATTTAAATGTTATTTCTGATTTATGTAACTATTTTGTTTTTTGCATTAATATAAAGTTAATACAGAAATTGTACAAAGTGTCACACTTAAAATGATTTTGACTGAAATGACAAAACATTAGTGAAGTTAATTTTGTAAGGAACATTTAAAGGGAAAGTATACAAGATCAATCCCAGAACTATATGCCAACTGAATAAAAGCATTTTCAGAAGCATTGAATCTATCAACATCAGTATTTTACATAAGGTCAGTCTGTACGATTACATATACACAAAGACACATAGATGCACAAGGACACCACTTGTACAAAAACTTGCAGAAGATGCTAAATTTAAATAATGTTAAAGTTTTTAATGATTGTCCTTTTCCAAGTGCTCCAAACTACAATTTTGCTCAGGGTGATCTGGGAGGATAATCTAAAAAGTACAATCAAAATGAAGAAAAATTAAGTGTCCCTTACCCCTTACTGCCACCAAATGAATGCCCCCTATACACCCACCAGACAAATGTTGTAGAACAGTGTTTCTCAATGGGGTCGATATCACCCCATGTGGGCATTTTTCCATGTTGAGGGGGCAATTAGTAACAATTTATATTTTGGCAGGCTGAAAAACAATTTTCTGGTCAATATAGTAAAACATTATAGTAAGAATAATTGGATATTTTATTCGTTATATTGTACAATAATTAACCACTTGTTCCTCAAACTGTTGTTTAGGAATTTTTAATTAAACATAAAAAATACTTAAAACTGAGAAAAAAAAGAAAGAAATGCATTAATTTTGAAGAGAAAGCTTCAAAGTTTAACTTCCATTGTCTCTCCTTTCTGCGAAATCTGACTCTGATGAGTAATTGTGTTTACAGCTGGATGAACTTGAGAACAGCTGGTATCGACTTTTGCGGAACATTCTCATAAAATCTACAGGAGGTGAAGGGTTTAAAGTAGGGTGAATACTAGCTAACTGTATATATTTAAGTATTTTTCAAAAATTACGTTTTTTATTGCAATTTCCGACCCCCCCCCGACTTAATTAAACATATATATAATAAAATCTATTAATTAAAAAATTAAAAAACTATTGGAGGTCGTTTTTGACATCAGAAACTACCTTTAAATAACTTTACCAAAGTAAAATCTGTGCACTAGAACTTTAGAACGATGAATGAAATTTGATTAAAAAAATCCCATAAGAAANTTTAATTTGAGTATGTTTTTCGCGTTGGAACGAATTATTTGGTTTTACATGTAATCGTATGGGAAAAGATGATCCACCTTACGACATTTTCATGATACGATCTCAGTTTCGGAACGGATTAATTTCGTATCTTGAGGTACCACTGTACTAGGAACCTTTTTCCTCAACTCTCAAGACTTTCTATTATCTTCAATCCACAAATCGAATAACTTCAAAATTGCCTTGGAACTATTTTATCCTATCGGACACCTCTATCTTGTTTGCTGCTACGAAGCTCACCACGCTCGTTGCTAACAGAAGTTCACCTCACTTGTCTTCGGACTTTATACTGTGAGGTGACGTCACAATTCTGAATGCGATAACTCCCCTCATTTACATACTTATTTGCTAACAATAAACTTTTTCTATTTGTCTGGCAGCCTATTTTCTGACAATATTTGCTAACTTTTTACATTATTCTTTTTGACAATTTTCGGGATGTTTTTATTCTTTAAGGTTTAGCAAGGTCTTAAGTTATGCTTGTGGGGTCTCCCCCCCTTTTCTTGGTGCGGACTTACTTTTTTCCGCTCGGGAGCGCAAGTGTTTGCGAGTTTTTCCTACATGAGGCGCTTTTCTCTCAGTGAGTTGGTTTCTCTTCTATTTTTAAGTTTCTAAGGTGAATGGTGAGGAAATCTTTGTCCTAACAAAACATAAGCCCAAACAAAAATATAATAAAACGCAAAGATAAAAGTAAATAAAAATAACGCTTGGACTTGGTTCCTTACATTGATTCCAGCTATATATTTTTTTTCAACAACTATTTAATGTCATCGGTTTTATTTCTCTGATGGATGAGTTTATTAGATTAATGCAGTCCAAAATTGTGAAGTTTCTACACCTCCTTGATGTCCATAGATTCATCATCGATTTTGTTCAACACCCATTGTAATGATCTCCTTATGTAATTGGTTTTAAATGTAGCTATAATTCCCTGATCTAACAGTTGAAGTAAAGCAGTTGTATTTGGAGGTGAAAAATTATTTTGATATTTGGGTGATTTACATCTTGCAGATGGCTGGGTGCATTATCCAATATAAGTAGNAAATCAGAAAGTACCTTTAAATAACTTTACCAAAGTAAAATCTGTGCACTAGAACTTTAGAACGATGAATGAAATTTGATTAAAAAAATCCCATAAGAAACAATTAAGCATTAGTCGTGCGTCATTAAAGGTAGATTAAAATCGTGATAAAATTTTTTTTAAAAATTTGGAGACTTAAAAAACATCCAAAAATCAAAAAAAAAAAAATTCAGAGGGTTCAAAAGACAGTTTGTTTTGTAATACTATGTAACCTGCCCGAGTTATCTCAGGTCCGGACGTTAAGCGGGTTAATAAACAAATAACATTATACTAATCACTAGTCTATTCGATGCATTACAAATTTGGTGTTAGCCTTGGCCCTCAGCATCAGAATTTTGAAGTGAAGGGGCGATACTACGTAACAGTTTTATTAAAGGGAGCGACAATTTGTTAGAGGTTGAGATACACTGTTCTAGAATGTTTATGATGAAACTAGAAGGAAATTTTGAAAACAAACTCAATATTAAAACTAAGACCTTCTTGAACAATCCACAGTCACATAGTATAACTAATTGATTGATAATGAGTTATTCATTAATAAAATGTAATTTTAGATTTGTTGTTTAAGAATTTTTTAGATTACTAGTTTAAATTTCATTCCTAAAGCTTCTGAGGGATCCAAGACCCATATCACCTCCCATAAGTAGCCCCAGACTTTACCTAAATTCATTTGTACCATTTCCAGCAAGTGAGTCAAATTTTATGTGGGACACTATATAATAGGTTTTAGATTTGCAATTCTCATGCTTTTTAGAATTACTTTTACTATACATAATAATTAGTTTTTTTTAATATAAATGGAATTATAATGTCTTAAAATCAGTAATTTTTACAGTTTTTAATATTTTATTATTAAATAAATTCTAATAAGTTTAAAATTTTTCTATTTAAGTCAAAATAAAATATAAAGTTTTCAAAAAGAAAATGAACAAAAAGTTATCATGAGTAGTTTTAATTCAATACTTCAATTTTATTGTAAATTAATATTATTTTTAATCATAGATTAATATCTGTAGGTTAAAGATGCAGTTGCTGTTTGTGAATTTTTTGCTTGGTTAGAAAAGGAAATAGCTATGAATGAAGTGACAGAATTATCAGCGGCAGCAAAGTTGGAAGAATTTAGGAAGTAAATTATATTAAACAACTAAAAATAGTTAAAAATAAATTTATATAATTTTTGTTTAACATTACAATAAGTTAATGAAATTTCATTGTCATAAACATAAGATCTCTTTGGTATAACTTTCAGTAATCAGTAATAAATAATTTCCTAAGTATATATATATCTGTGTGTGTGTGTGTGTGTGTGTGTGTGTGTGTGTGTGTGTGTGTGTGNTTATTATTAATAAAATAAAAGGACGACACTTACAAAAAAAATTTTTGTTTCAGTCATTTCTTTCATTGTTCGCACCATCAGCAGTTCATAAAATCACAAACTCACGGAGATGACCTTCCTTTTTAGGCTACTGCCTCCGTAGTTAAAATGCAAAAATGATAAGGAAGGTCGTCTCTGTGATTTTATGAACTGCTGATGGTGCGAACAATGAAAGAAATGACTGAAACAAAAGTTTTTTTTGTAAGTGTCGTCCTTTTATTTTATTAATATTAAATAATCGTTGGCCATGTAAAACTTATTATTTTTTACTCTACTCTAAATTTTTCTGTTGTAAGTAGTTTTCCACACTTGGTACAAAATAGTTTAAAAACCATTTCTTAAATCATTCAGTAGTCTTCCAAGCTTTTTTATTTGCTGTCCAGTATACTGGTAAATTACTCTTACTTTTATTTAGGTTTTTCATTGCATGAGGATTGAGAGATTTATAAACCAGCATAGGTTTTACCGTTAATCACCTGAAGCATTACTGCACATAAGTAATGTTACATGGTTTTTTGATACCTTGAAACCTGACGCAACTTTTTCGTCTTTAGAAATATATGTTTTCTTAGGCATTTTTTTTCCATCACTGAGCAGTCGGCATTAAAAACCAGGTTTTTAATGCCGACTGCTCAGGGATTTAATGCCGACATTAATTATTGAAGAAGATGGTTAATTAAATATCCACCGTCTTCAATAATTCTTTTTAATTCCATTGGATAAATTTCAACGGCTTCTTTATCAGCTGATGCACTTTCACCCTCTATTTTTAGGTTTTGTAGTGATAAGCATTTTCTCATACAAACAAACCACACTTTGCTGGCTACAAAATCTGGATTAGTAGCAGTTTTTCCATTTTCCTTTAAGTAGTTGTAAATTTTCAAGGCTTTGTGTTTAATAATATTGGTGCTCAGTGGAATCCACTTTTTTGAATAGTCTTCAATCCAGATGCTAAGGGCTTTTTCCATCTGCTCAATTATTGCTGCCTAGGACGAGATGTCATGTTGAGGAGATAGAACAGTCTGCAGCAACAGAATCTCTAATTTTCTGTTCATTTTTCCTTATAGTCCGTATTGTTGCTTCATTTAAATCCAACAATTTGATGACATATATTTTTTTTTTTTGCCCATTTTGAGTCAATCTAAAATTTGTAATTTTATTTGTTTGGAGATGAAGTGTCTTTTAAGAGACATTTTTTTTTTTTTCGCTAGACATAGCTTAGGGCTACAGATTCATAAAAATAAAAACATAATTATTATTTAAAAACGGTTGAGTACAGTACTACAGTACTTACCTGAAAATTTTTAATCTACATAGCCAAAAAAAGATACACAATTAAAGTCTTAAAGTATACTTGTAAAGGTGTGGATTGTCTCAAGGTTCGGAGGTGTGGTTCAATGCCTAAAAACCGGTGACAGAATAAAGATAGTATGGAATAAGGGAAAAACACCTGGCAACACCAAAAGCAGAAGCGTCACGGTCTGGCAACACTGAAACAAGTTTCGAGAAGGACTGCGTGTATCAACAGAAGGCGGGAAAAGAAAATTTACATACTTAAGTATTAATAGTTCACGAAAATTATGCAGGAAAATCTGATAGTACGTATGCACTTAAATGAAAAATGTCAAATGAGGTATCTTTTGCACTTAAAAGCTTTATCATGTTTATTCAACTGTTGTACGGGGATTTCCCTAATTTCAGATTAGATAAAGTTTGCTTTTAATAGTTTTTATTACCTATCATGTTGTACAAGAGTTTTATCCAATTCTTCAACCATGTTAGAGTGAATCTGTTCTGTAGAAGTGCTGTGTTATACAGGGGTTACCTGTAATCCTTTTTCATTGCAATATTGGGAACAAATGCCCTTCAATCGAGAACAGTATAAACAGATGGGACATAGGGATGATCAGAACTTTGAATATTTGCCTTTTAACCTGATGCATTACACACAAGGCTGGTTTGGAAACAACCCTAATGTTGAATGGGCCCTAGATAACACCATTCCTAAATATTTAATGCTGACCAGTCTGGCGAAATGCCTTTGACAAGCAAATAATGTATCACAGGAGTTAAATAAGGATAATGTAAGGTTTAATCGTAATGGAAGTAGAATAACCTCAGTGAAAACGAGAGAACAACATTGGGATTTAGAGCAAGTAGTAGATTATCTACATGAAGCTACTTGTTTATTGGTGTTGGAAAATCTAAATTAATAGATAGAGATTTACCTACCCCTTGTACTTTAGTCTGTGAAAATGAGAATAAGAGGGCAAAATTAACAATAGACACAGGGACAGCATTTTTTTTTTATCAAAAAGATTTTTTTTCTGAACTTATACAAGTTAAAGAAAGCTGAAACCAGAGAGGTGGAATTACTTAGCGTCGCTGGACACACAATAGATATGATCGGGAAATTTGATTTAACATTTAAGATTGGGCTATTGAATTTTAGACACAATTGCTATATTGTGGACCCCAAAATAACAGAACCTAATGACGGGATCCTAGGTAGAGACATAATAGAGAAAAATGACCTTACGATTGCGATAAAAAATGCAAAGCTTATTTTTCTTACAGGTAACAAAGTTACATTCTGGGGATTGACAAACCTTCACAGTAATGCTAATAACCCATGTAACATAAGTAAGAATGATAGCACGCTTGCAATGGTAGAAAGACAAAAGAACAGGAAGGATAGTTTAAATCAAAGGGATTTAACCCAAACAAATAATTATAGAGAGGGTAGGAAAGTGAGTAAAAGAAAAAAACAAAAAAGAAACAAAGAAAGATTAGAGAGACAGTTTGTAGAAGAGAGAAATTAAAAGGGAGACAACCAGAGAGTGGTGGTGGTAAAGCATGACTCCACCATTCCCCCTTATAGATGGGTGAGTATGTGGCAAGCATGTCAATAACCAGATAGTTGAGTCATGTCCACTTGAAAGGGAAGACCTGATAGTTGCTAATGTGTTGAAGGTACCCAGACACGGAACTATTCCCATAAGGATAGTGAATGTAAGCACATAACCCCTAAAGCTGAAGCAAAGTAGGCACATACTTCCAAGTGGAATAAGAATCAGAGGAGGAGGCAAAAGTAGATAGGATATCTCGGGTTGAAGAAAATCCCATGACCAGAGCCAAATTTGCTAGTTTATTTGATTTGAAAGAAGTAAGTAAAGACAAATTAACCCCTTAAACAATTCATTATACAAATATCAGCAAGTGTTGTAATTCAAACACAAATAATTATCATATTTATCTTCAGGCACTTGGCAATACTCATCATCAAGTTTTATTCAGTTGATTTGAATCTTGATCATCAAGTTTTATTCAACTGAATAAAACTTGATGATGAGTATTGCCAAGTGCCTGAAGATAAATACGATAATTATTTGTGTTTGAATTTGACTGAATAAAACTTGATGATGAGTATTGCCAAGTGCCTGAAGATAAATACGATAATTATTTGTGTTTGAATTACTACTAATAACTACAAGCACGGTTTCAAAAGTATCAGCAAGTGTTCACAAAACATGACTTTGACTTGTTTTGTGAACACAAGTATTATGATTAAAGTATTATGATTAAAGTATTATGGTTAAAGTATTATGGTTAAAGTATTATGATTAAAGTATTATGATTAAGGTATTATGATTTAATTCATCACTTGAGAGAAACGGGAAACAGGCCCCCATTTATCATACTCCTTATTGCATTTTGTATGCTCAGCGGGAATTAATGAATAATCTAGTGGGAGATATGGTGAAGAGCGGGGGTAGTCGAATCGTCCAGTTTCCCATGGTCTGCGCCAGCCCTTTTGATAAGGAAGAGTGATGGAAATTGGAGATTTGTGGTGGACTTTAGGCAATTAAATCTGTACTAATATTATTAAGAGGTAATGTTTGTAAGTTTGTATGCAAGGGCTAATCCCCGAAACTACTCATCCGATTTCAAAAATTCTTTCACCAATATTTACAATGGAACTTCAGGGTGGACATAGGCTGTATATTATTCCATTAAACTTTCATAAAAATTAAAAGATATCATCTAGGGTTAACGCTTTTATGTCCAATAGATGGCGCTACGAGTACAACAACTTAAGTTTGCTTTTCTGTGAGGATGAACTAAAGCAGATCATCTGTCTATATAAATAAAAATGTAATGTTTGTTTGTTCCTACCGATTCCTTTGAAATTTTGACACAACACTGCATTCGAATACACCCGTGCTTTTATATAATATATGTCGAAATTTCCCTACTGGGGGGAGAGGGACAGAATTAAGGCTTACCGTAAAGAACTCTGCTTCTATTTATGCTATTTTAGATGCGGTTTTTTGCATTTTAATAGGGTACGTCAACAGAATATACACTAAAAAGGGATTTTTCAATATTCCCCCCGTGGGGGAGAGGGACAGGATTAAGGCTTACCATGAAGAACTTGGCTTGTATTATACTATTTTAGATGCAGTTTTTGCGTTTTTGATTGCGTTTTAATAGGTTACTATTAAAACGCAATCTTACTAGCAGACCCCACCACGTGGTGGTGTCTGCTAGTAAGATAATAAAAATAGATCCTTACCCTCTGCCCCTCATCCAGGAGTCATTGAGCTTACTTGGAAAGGTGAGATATTTTTCAACAATGGACATTTTAAGTGAATATTGGCAGTTACCCCTGAACCCTGACTCAAAGCAAAAGACTGAATTCACTACCCTGTCGGGACATTCCCAATTTAATTGTATGGCTATGCGACTTT